ATATATATATATATATATATATATATATATATATATATATACCTTTTCTACAGTTTTAGTATATTTAAATGAAAAAAGTGTCACATTCTAACAAACCTGGTTTTATTATTTTTCTTGTATTACGAATTGAATATAATAATAAAAAATAGCTGGGTGTACAACGTTTTCAGTCGTGTATATTTCCTCAATTTATGTTCAAGGAATTGTTAAAGTCAGCTGTGATTTAGTTATTTGGTTTTAGATTTTTGCATATTTAGCAGACTTTTAGATTTAAAGCCTGTTAATATGTTCTCACGTTCTCTTTGTCTATTTCCCTGTTTGAATTACATTTCATCAGTTTGCCTCAAATTTCTGTAACAACTGGATTAGATTACAGTGGCTTTAAACTACCCTAAAACGCTGCGGTGTCTTTCTGTTGTCAGAATGTAGACATTACAAGGCTGCCTGAGAGAAATGGAAAATACCAAAGTGTCTGGCTGCTCCACAAGTGTGGGGTTTAAGTGGGGCGTTTGAGTCAGAGACAGATTTTCTTTTTTCTTCTGAAACTTATCCACAGTTTAAGACTGTTCAAAATTGGCTGTTGAAGAAGTTTTCAATGAATGTTGCAGAGGTAAAAGCTCCTTCATAACCCTCCAGCTATTATCAGCAGTCTCGGGTTCCTCCATGTAGACCACACAACTCACCATTTTTACTGAAGCCGTCATGAAGAAATGTCAGAGATAGATTTTCACGTGGTTTCTCAGAACCGTTAAAGTTGGTGTTCCACCAAAAGATACAGTTAATAAAAGCTGATGTTACCGAACATCACTGGACCAAAACCTTGGATTGGTAATAAACCTTTTGATGAGTAATTTGGCTCTGCATGGTTTTGCATTTGATAAAACCACCAGCATCTATTTTCATTGGACCATAACAATGTTAGCAGTAGCTGTTTTGGCTGCTCCTCCATTGAACCAAGATTGTGTGCAACAACCTAATTAATCTGATATCATCGTGGACAAGGAAATTTTGGTTTCGCCTAATTCTCCAATTTTCAAAATCTTCTAACGGGGCAAAATCCATTTCTTAAGCTTTTTAAGCTACATAGACATCCAGGTTTATGGGAACTTCTCTATTGAAATAAAGACTTAAAATTATTCTGATATTTTGCAACAAAAAAAAAAACAGAAAAATCATAGTGTAAATCCTTCCGAACCTAAAACAGAAGGTTTATTCTTAGTTAAAATCTGTCTATGAGTGTGACAAAGTGGTTTAGTTTGTGTTTACCACTTGTCCCTTATTCTTTCTTCTGAATCTTTGTAATGCTAAATTTAAACATTAGTTTGCAACTTTGACTTTCACTTACTATCCCGGGTTTGTTTGTGTTAGCATTATGTTGCAGTTTCCATCTACTTATGTTTAGGTTACAGCTATTACTTTAGGATCACTGGATGAAATTGTTTATTATGTTTCAAAGTATATTCTTGGCATTTGCTTTCCTTTTTAATCACCATTGTTTAAGTATTTCCTACTAAACTGTCTAAATGATGTCATCCATTACTTTGCTGGGTTCTACCATTTAGAGGGTTTCCTTTTGAGTTATGCTTTGTTTGTTTTTCTTTAAAGTAACGTTTTGAGTTATCTTGTTTCACACTGTTTATTTTGCAGACTTTTTCTTTATGTAGATGAGTTTGTAAATTAGATTAAGTTTATTCTTGTTTCTCTGTTTGGACTTTTTTTTTTTTTACCTTTTTAATTGAGGCTTGGTCCACTCAAGTGCAGGTGTGTTGCCACTTGATTATATAAGCCCTGAGCTCTTGGAAGCTCGAGGAAAATGTTTTGTCAGAGAGAAAAGGAATAAAAGACAACAGAGAAACTGGAAACGGTGGCTGAAGCTGTTTTTTTTTTGGTTCACCTTATTGACCCTCAACCAAACTACCTCACAATGAGAAAACAAAGGTTAGGCCTTTTTAAACAGTAAAAACATCAAGTTTCAGTTGCATGTTTGAGGGCATTTTTGGGGCTTTTGTAAAAACCTTGTGAGTTTGTGGAGACCTGGATGGTGCTGCTAGATCTACTGACCTTAAAGGTGAGAAACTCACACATAAATATGTCATCTAGCTGAATCGGCTCCCAACCGCTGACATCCATGTGATCCGTAATGTCACGGTCTTGATTCTGTTATGTTTTACTTTGCTCCATGTTTGCTAGTTTTATTGGTTTAATTCCTATTTTGTTGTATTTTCTGAATATATTTGAGTTCTAATGTTTTTGTTTTTGTTTGTTTCACTTTGTTGCCCTCTTGTGTTTGTCTCCTTTTCCCTAGCTCCTTCCTTTTCTGCTGTCTTCACACCTGCTCCCAATCTGCTCGTTAGTTCTCTCTTTGTTCCTCGTCTGAC